CCCCAAAACCCCAAAACCCCAAAACCCCTTAAAGCGATTATTGGTTACATTTGCCTTATCTGACATCATTATATTAACTATATATATTCATTATTTAAATATGGTTGAGCCATCCTAAGATACCCACAAAAGAGAAGAAAACAAGAGACTTAAAGCAGGAACAGGTCCATCGATTGCTGATGATCATAACAAGATCGGAGGGGATATTAAATTCACTAAGAACCCTGATTTTATTCAATAAAGAAAACAAGTATTTGACGAACTATTTGCAGTTCAATCAAAGAAATACGAAGGTTAGTCATTATTACCTAATGCCGCATTTATGACAACTAAATATAGAAATGCCAAGAGAAGCAATTAAAATTACCTTGCCGGATGGAAAAGTCAAAGAAGGAACAAGTTTTGTAACAACTCCATTAGAAATCGCTAAATCAATCTCAAACAGCTTGCCAGATAAGATTTGTGTAGCAAAAGTGAGATACTCAAGAAGAGTCGGAACTCTTGATGACGGATTGATTAATCCAGATGCAGAAAAAGCAGATTAAGGCGATATTTGGGAATTATATGATTCATTCAGACCATTTGAGGGAGATTGCGATCTCAAGTTATTGACCTTCGAGGATCCTGAGGGTAAAATGGTTTTCTGGCACTCAAGTGCTCATATTTTGGGTGAGTCAATGGAAAGAGAGTTTGGAGTCCATCTCTGCCATGGACCTCCAACTGATAGTGGATTTTTCTATGATGCCTATACTGGTCATGATGTAATCAATTTTTGAACTAACTATTGCTTAGATTTTCAACAAGGATAACTATAAGACCATTGAAGATGCTGCTAAGAAAGTTGTTACTGAGAAATAAACATTCCAAAGAATCATTTTGACTAAGGAAGAAGCACTTAAGTTATTCGAGTATAATCCATTCAAGGTCTAACTTATCCAAAATAAGATCCCAGAGGGTGGAAAGGTCACTGCTTATAAGAATGGTGATTTGATCGATTTATGTACAGGACCTCATATACCCGTCACAAGCAGAGTTAAAGCATTCAAAGTAATGAAAAATGCTTCTGCATATTGGCTAGGAAAAGCTACTAATGACAGTCTTTAAAGAATTTATGGTGTTACATTCCCATCAAAGAAGGAATTGGACGAACATATTCATTTTATTGAGGAAGCTGCTAAAAGAGATCATAGACTCATCGGATAACATCAGAATCTTTTCCATTTCCATCACTTATCACCTGGCAGTGGTTTCTGGTATCCATATGGTGCAAAGATCTATAATAAATTGACTACTTTTATGAGAGATGAATACAGAGTTAGAGGGTACTAGGAGGTTATTTCACCCAATATGTACAACTTGAAATTATGGAAAACTTCAGGACATTACAAGAGTTATAAGAACAATATGTATCTTTTCAAAGTTGAAAGTTAAGGTTTTGGCATGAAGCCAATGAACTGTCCAGGACATTGTCTCATGTTCGATTCAACAATCAGATCATACAGAGAACTCCCATTGAGAATGGCTGATTTTGGTGTTTTGCATAGAAATGAAATCTCTGGAGCTCTTTCTGGTTTCACCAGAGTAAGAAGATTCTGTCAAGATGATGCTCATATTTTCTGTGCTCCAGAACATATTATGCAGGAAGTGCTTGGATGCTTAAACTTCCTTGATTATGTCTATGGTATTTTCGGATTCAATTTCGAACTTGAACTATCTACAAGACCTGAAGATAAATTAGGAGATGATGCTCTATGGGATCAGGCAGAAGGAGCATTGGCTGAAGCTTTAAATAAATTTGGAAAACCATGGAAGGAAAACCCAGGTGATGGAGCTTTCTACGGACCAAAGATTGATATTAAGGTATTTGATGCCCTGAAGAGACCTCATCAATGTGGAACCGTTTAATTAGATTTCTAACTCCCTATTAGATTTAATCTAATGTACAAGAATGATCACCATGAACATTTAGACAAGTCGATGTCCTCAGATACAGCAAGTGTCCACTCAGAAGCAAGTCATGCAAGCTATACTTCTGAAGAAAGCAAGAAGTCAAATATGAGAAGTGAACTCTATGCAAAGGATGAATTAGATGAGGAAGATTTCACATGGTAAGAGCATCCACTAAAGAATGGCTATTCAAGGCCAGTCATCATTCACAGAGCTATTCTTGGTTCTCTTGAAAGATTTATTGCTATTCTAATTGAGCATTTAGGAGGAAAGTGGCCATTCTGGGTATCACCAAGATAAGCTATTGTAGTCCCAGTCTCTGAGAAATTCATAGAATATGGAGAGAGAGTATAAATCTATCTTCATTAGCAAGGATTTGAAGTTGAATTAGACCGATCTAATCATACATTAGCTAAGAAGATTAGAAGTTCTCAGCTAGATTAATGGAATTACATCCTTGTTGTCGGAGAGAAAGAGCAAAAGCACGGTACTGTAGATATTAGAAGTAGAGAGCAACAATAGATTGGAAGTAAAAGAGTAGATGAGACTGTTGAATTCTTCAAATCATTAATACCAAAGAGATCAAACCAATTCTTCGATTTAATATCTAAGGCATGGTCTCCAAATGATTTCCCAATTGTTCACGAAGAAGAGCAAAAGCAATAGGAACAATAACAACCAGAAGCTAAATAAGAAATCAAACAAGAATGATGCAAAGTTCAATAACTAATTTATTACATTACATTTAAACATTACAATTTATATAATAGTGGGGTTTTGGGGTTTTGGGGTTTTGGGG